CATCTGAAGGCTGGTTGCCTGGGGCTGGAAGCTGTACTTCCAGGATGGCTCATTTGTGTGGTTAGTGACTCTGAGCTGGCTGTATGCAGAAGGCCCAGTCCCTCACCACGTGGACCTCGCCGTAGTGCTACCTGAGTGTCTCACATTGTGGCAGCTGGCTTCCCCTAGGCCAAGCAATCCAAGGAGGAGAAGGTGGAAGCCACAGTGTCTTTTATGTCCTAACTTTTTAAGTCACGCACCATTATTTCTGCAATATCCTGTTGGTTACACAGGTCAGCCCTATTTACTGGGGGAGGGGACTGCATGAGAGCATGGACATCAAGAGGTGCATGACTCATTGAAGTCATCTTCGAGGGTGGCTACCACAATGTAAAAGAACGGTCTTATACCTTCCTCCCCCAAAACTGATTATTCTCTCCTTTCTCCCTCAAGTCCATCCTTCATTTGGTTTGTTCGTTGGTTGGTTTATTGTGCAGCAGTATCAGAAGGGTGGTAATGAGCATTGGTTTCTAGGAATGTTGGAAGTCAGTGAAATATCAGCTCTGTAGTTGTTTCCAAAACACTTGTATCTCTGTATACCCCATAGAGACTGTTTGAAAATTAGATAATAAAATAGCCATCCTCTTAATTCTTCATATTATAAATTCACCTGTTTTAATGTAGTAACTCTTTAGTTAATAGAAATAGACTTCTGGAAGTCACACTGGATTATGTAGGGGTTAGGCCTGAATGAAAGTCCTCTCTTCTCCCTTTGCTAGGAAATCTTTTCTGCTTGTCTCCTATAGGCATAAAGGTAATCATATTCTTCCTCTGTTCCCTCTGTGCTCAGCTCTCCACTCGTTAGCTCTGTGACCTTAGACACATTATCTCATCGCTTTGTGCATCCATTTTTTCCCATTTGCAAAATGGGTGCAATAATTGTACCTGTTTCTTGCTTTGTAGGCTAAATGACATGCTTACAACATACTTAGTATGATGTCTAGCACATTGGTAAGCACCCAGATGTCAACAACTGCTACCACTGATACTTACTGTGGTGGTGATGGTGGTTATTGCAGTCACACTAAACTATACACCTGTGTATTTCTAGATATCTCTTTTACCTTTCCACTTATTGGACAATTACTAAGCACTTCTTAGGCCTTATTACATAGATGGGTGGTATTATCACCATTTTACAGATGGGGAAATTGAGGGTAGAGAGGTTAAATAACTTGTTCCAAAATCACACAGTTATTAAGTTGTACAACTTTGTGAAATTGGATTAGATTTAAGGAAGATACATCACTGTGAACTTTAGAAGAGCATCTCAAGACTGAAAACAAGTGACTATATAGTCAATCTTTGACTCTTCATAGTTGCATCCTTTATAATCAAAAGATCTTAGTTTAAATCATAATGCCAGGTTGCATCACTTTTACCAGTACATATGTAAAGGGAAGGGAATGAAGGAGAGGCAAAATGAGTTTTGCTGCTTTTAAAGAGTTACTGTTTAGACATAGAGAACAGACTTGTGGTTACCAACGGGGAGGGGTGTTGGGGGGGATGGACTGGGAGTTTGGGATTAGCAGATGCAAACTATTACATATAGAATGGATAAACAACAAGGTCCTACTGTATAGCACAGGGAAGTGTATTCAATATCCTGTCTGATAAACCGTAATGGAAAAGAATATTAAAAAAAGAATGTCAAAAAAAAAGTTACTGTTCTAAATGCTTGAGAAGAAAAGTTACAGAAATTGCAGAAAACATCTAAGTCTAGTGGCAGTTTATCAGAATTTTAAATTAATGAACATTTTTATTATAGAGGGTCCATATTAATTCAGATTCAACTCTGTAAAATAAATTTACAGACTTGACAGTGAGATCAAAATAAGCATGTACCAAGAAGAACTTCAAAAACATAGTTTTGCTCATTTAGTAAACCAGGCAGTCTGTTGGAGCTACTATTGAGTTTATGGAGAGTCACATTTGTTTGTTTTGCTTTTCTCCTGCCTGTGCTTTGTCTCCTTCTGAAAAGCAGAGAACTCTCCTTTCTCAGGAAAGACATGTATAATTTGATTTTAAGTAGAGTTCATTGCACAGGGCATAGGGTTTTTGTTTCTTTGTTTTTGATGAATGAGTCCAGTGCTGACTTTATATTATCCTGTGATATCAAGGATAATTGTAATCAAAATAATTAGCTGTTAAAATTTTACTCATTAGGTGATTTGGAAATAATTCAAAGAAAAATAAGATCATTAAATTACAAACCTGAGGAATAGGAATGTTTTTTATTATTCAGAATGTGATTTTGTTTCTGGTTATATGCCCACTTAAAAGGCTTATGCGGGCTTCCCTGGTGGCGCAGTGGTTGAGAGTCCGCCTGCCGATGCAGGGGACACGGGTTTGTGCCCCGGTCTGGGAAGATCCCACATGCCGCAGAGCAGCTGGGCCCGTGAGCCATGGCCGCTGAGCCTGCGCGTCCGGAGCCTGTGCTCCGCAACGGGAGAGGCCACAACAATGAGAGGCCCGCACACCACACACACACACACAAAAAAAAAAGGCGTATGCTTTTTATTATGATCATACAAGCAGCCTTTGAATTTATCCAAGGAAGGGAAGACTAGTTTTGGGAATGTCATAAGCTCATAGGTAATAGCCGCTGAAAGGACAATAGCAGATTAGTAGCTAAATAAGATATTGCCAAAGAGTAAATTAATGTAATGGGCTGGCTGGCAATGTAGAGGAGCCTTGGTGAATGTTGGCCAATAGCTAATGGCTGCTATAGCCAGAGCTGCTAACACTGCTGGTATGTGTGCTGATCTCTTAAGTCCTGAGGAAGACCAGAATGTGACAGTTTTACCTGTCATCTTCACATGTTGAAAATTAGAGAAAAGTGCTGTTTGATGATAATCATGCAAGTTCTGAATGTCATCCAAAACGTGAGAAATGCTGCAATAATAAGCATGGGTTTGTGAGGAGCATTATAATTCTGAAATATCTCTGTGCCTTCCAGGCTTTCTCAGGAGTGTTGTTTTTAATGTAGCCTGTGCCTAAATTATGAAAATGAACACTTTTCCTGAGAAAGCCTTATAGGAACCTGTGGCCCGGATAGGAATTGATGTTAGGTTATTGATGCACAGAATTTGGATGATCATTGAGAATAAATCTCCTGCTAAGTAGGGCATATCCAGGAAAAACCAAGAGTTAATGAATGAAGTATTAGTATAATTACTGACTGATTATTGGGAAAGGCTGTTTGCCTGCCTTTGGAGAGTAGGTTATATGCTATATATCATATACCCTCTCTTGCCACCTGTCCATGTGCCATGCAGATAAGTTAACATGATGCCATGCCATGAGCAATATGAAACTAATGCGTGGATCCTGATGTCATAATGTCTGTGCTTATTTTCATGAAAATAGTGCTATAGATGTTTTGAAGGAAGTAAAATGAATTAAACACAACCATTCTTATTAAGAGATATAAACATTTTTTCCCCAAAGGCTGAGTTAAATGTACATAAGGGTAGATTGTTTTGAGGAACAATTGGGAATTTAGGAAGGAAGTATAGTTTTTAAAGAGTGGCTATCAAAATGATAAACTGGGCTTCCCTGGTGGCGCAGTGCTTGAGAGTCCGCCTGCCGATGCAGGAGACGCGGGTTCGTGCCCCGTTTCGGGAGGATCCCACGTGCCGCGGAGCGGCTGGGCCCGTGAGCCATGGCCGCTGAGCCTGCGCGTCCGGAGCCTGTGCTCCGCAAATGGGAGAGGCCACAACAGTGAGAGGCCCGCATAACGCAAGGAAAAAAAAAAAAAAAAAAAAAAAATGATAAACTGAATAGCTAATCCTTAAGAGTTCCTTAAGCTACAGTTGCTGTGTATCCTTGGGGTCTTTTGTTTCTTGCTCAATTAAAAAATTCAAAATAGAAAGATCCAAAGACCAAATGTTGCCTTCAACCATAACATTTACTCTACTCAACATAGGATACAGGAGAGCTACAGTCTCGAGAGAGAGACAAAACTTCTGAGTCTGTTTTTTGGTGTCCCTAGCCTTGATAGCCAAGGGTGGTGGACTTCTAGGGCGATGGCTCTTGGAAGTTGCCCATCTCAGTCAAGCCACCTCCCTTCTTGCTCAGGGCTTAGTGTGAAGTTTTTGAGAGAAAATTTGCCTAGCAGTATATTCCCAGTCACGTGTGATGACAGGGATGCCACTTGACAAGCCACTGAAACAGTAGTATCTTGCCTACCCGAGATGGAGAGCCAGTCTGGACACAGTTAAATGTCTGTTTAAATGTTAATGGAGGCTGTGAAATAATAATGAACCTTAAAAAGTGTGTGTCGGTGGGGGGGGCAGGGGTTCAAGTTAGTTGTAAAGTTATAGGTATTTTTAAAGGATTAGGTAAAGTAAGCTCAAGTGCTAAGACATTTGACTATAAGATGCTTTATTGAATTGAATAAGGGAATTGGTACTACAATGGCTGAAATTTCCTTTTTGCTGGTTGTGTCTTCCATTTGTTTGAATAACGAAGGGGGACTGTACCTAGAACGCAAGCAGCTGAGTTTGATTTATGCTTGGTGCTTCTCCCATCACCACTGACCCATATTACTTTCACTGCCTCCACTCATTCACCCACTTAAGCAGATGGCATATTGTAACACCGTTCAGAATTTTTAGCAAGTTTTCGCAGCTGTACACTGTTCATTTATTTTCAAGTGAGCTAGAGCCCAACTGAGTATTCATGCTCTGCTAATCCCAGCTGTGGCAAGAGCTTTGACCGAAATGGTCTCTGGCTCCCTGAGTCTGTAACTTACTCAGAGATACCATCTTCTCTGTACCAAGACCTGGCCAAGGCACCTACTTAACTCTAAGCAGAAGGAAATTCAGATTTCATAGTATTGGCCATATTCAAAGCAACGTTCCAGATATAGCTCTCAGCCTGCAGTTGAGGCCACGTACTTTCCTCTCTGGGGTGTTACAGCATTGTTCATGCTCTCTCTTGGGGCTTTTGATTTGCAGATGCTAATGCTGGAGACCGTGGACAGACCAATAACGCCGCTTCCGCATCAGCTTCCAACTCCACCTGAACAGTCCCGAGCAGCCAGCTGCACAGGAAAAACCACCAGTTACTTGAGTGTCACTCAGCAACACTGGTCACATTTGGAAAGAAAATTAAAAAGAGAAAAAAAACCTGTTCATTTTAGTGTTCAATTTTTTTAATTATTATTGTTGTTCTTATTTAACCTTGTAAAATATCTATAAATACAAACCAATTTCATTGTATTCTCACTTTGAGGGAGACCCAGGGGTTGGGAGGGGTCGTGGGGAGGGGAAAGCGGGGCACTAGAACACACATCTCTCTCCCACGACAATCTTTTTTTTATCAAAAGTCTGCTGTTGTATACTTTAAAAACAGGACTCCTGCCTCATACCCCTTCCACAAAAGAAGAAAACTTTGTTCTGTGCGGAAGTTTTTTTGAACTTTGTTTTCTTTTAAAGTCAAGTGTAAGGCTTGGGTATAGTGCACAGCTTGAAATTGGTTGGGAACTTAGCAGGTGTAACTCAATGGGGACTTAAATGTCACTTGTAAAATTAATCCATATCCTCGGGTACTTGAAGACATGCCTTTAGCATGTTGCTGGCAGGTGTGGCAGACAAAAAAGGAAATGTGTGTCATTTGTAACCCTGGAGGTCAATAAAGTTTGAATCTATAAGGGGAAAATTCTTAATTGATTTGTTAAGGTTTTATTTTGCTCTTAATCAGTGCTAGTGGTGAAGAAACTTACGTAGGAAGCTGTCAGAGGAGGAGCGTGTGTGCTCTGTGTGGATCTTTGTTTGCCTGACCAAAGGTTCTCTATAAATCTTAGTACAGTTTTAATCTAGTGACCTAGGAGGAGACTAAAAAGGGTGCTGAGCTGGCCCCTCTGACTGCAGAGGTCAAAAGCTGACGAACCTGGAGGAAGGGGACAGGCCAGGGGCAGGTCTCACCACTGTGGTTGAATTTGTCCAGATTTTTTCTAAAGTTGCTTCCCTTGGAAAGATACACTTGAGAGGACATCATAGTTAAATAATGTGAACTATAACAGTCTACTGGTTTATTTTTCATATTTTTTAATTACAAAATGAGCTTGCAGAAAGTGCCACATTCTGCACATAGTTCTGATTTTAAATCCAAATCTAGAATCTGTATTTAATTTCAGCCTTTTTAACCTCATGCTTTTTAAATTTTATTTATTGATGCATGTGAGAGAGACCATTATGATTTTAGATGGTAGGAATATTAAAAACTACACATCAAAATGATATAAACAGTCACTTGTACCTGCTGACTTTATAGGAAAGCTGATTATATAAATGTGTGTATATATGTTATATACATAGATTCAATACTGCCTTTAGTTTTGGGTTTTTTGTTTGTTTGTTTGTTTTTGTCCACAGTATCAAAATTGACTGGTTGAAGCATGAGAAGAATGTTTACCCCCAAACCCAGTTAAGAATTTTTGTTTCTGTTTTTCTTTGTATAATCAGTGAACAGTGTAAGAATCAGTCTCTGTTTTTGAAGAAAAAGCAATATTCCTTGGAAAGCAAGGAGAATTGAAGGATTATGTTGGCAGTGAGGAAAAAGATTTTCACAACTAGTTTGGTTTATATGTTTAAGGTTGACATCTATGCGGGCCTTATATACTCTAAAATGAACCTTAGTCACCTTGGTGCTTATGGGCCATTACTTGACTTAATGAATCTTTAAGGCACAATCAGTTGTACTTTACATTTAAAGATCACTTGAGTGATGGCCGCCTTTCCCACCTACCTTCCTTCCCCATACACCTTCCAAGGTTAGCTGATAACTGCAAGGCTGCAGAGCTGAGCCCCAGATTGTGTGTAACCTCCCTTCACCCTCCTTGTTGCCACCTTAGGACATGTTAGGGGTCTCGCCCTCCAGGTGATTTGGAAGTGGAGTGTCTTGGCAGCCCTCATGCAGGTCCCAGCACCCTGTCCTGCTTCTTAACAAAGTGTGTGTGACTCTCCAAGAGAGTAGTACTGCCTGCTGACATGAACCAGTACCCAGAGAGACAACGGTGAGCCATCTTAGTTTTCACTCACTGTCTGGCTAAGCTCTTAAGCCACAGAAGCGTTTCTCAAACCTCTGGTTATATCAGAGTTCATGAGAAAGGAAACACACTCAGTCAAACCAAATCAAATTGAATTTTACTTTGCATAATGAGCTTCCGAGAGCAAATTAAGATTTGAAAGAAGTCTGAATCAAAGTATTTGGCAGCATAATTCCTAAAGGGAATGGCTTTGATAGACCATTTTCAGAAAAGATTTATAAAGAAGCTGGACAGCAGGTCTGTGACACAGGAATGGACCTACTTTCAGACCAAACTGCCCAGCCAAACATTTGGACACAGACACTACTCTGGACTTGGTATACTTGCTAGAGTCCATAAAAATCTGTGCTTGTTTTAGGAAACACTTTCCCCCCACAAATGGGGTAAGAGAAGAAGAGAGAAAAGTCAGATGCTTTTCTCTTATTTTATTGTGTGTGTGTGTGTGTGTGTGTGTGTGTGTGTGTGTGTGTGTGTGAGGGCTGAGGTGCATGATTTTTCTTTCTCAAGGATCATGGCGGGATCACAGAACTCTTTTATACAAGTGAGATCCAGGTCTCTGAATATCTTTTTGTAAATAATAATAATAATAATAATAATAAAAAGCTCCTCACCAAATTCAAGCTTGTACATTATATTTTCTTTCAATGTTTTTAAATTTAAGTTTTATTGTTTTGTATGTAAATATGTGGACCCAGGAACTGTTATTAATGAGCAAAAAGTTACTGTTCAGGGCAGTGATTCTGTTTAATAATCAGACAAATTGTAGACGAGCTTTTTAAAGCCATATAGTTTTAACTCTGTACAGTAGGTACCGGCCTGTATTATTGTAACAATAACTCTAGCAATGTATAGTGTATCTATATAGTTTGGAGTGCCTTCGCTTCCATGTGTTTGTTTTTTTGTTTTTCATTTTGGAAGTTTTAATTGGTTTCTCTATCCATGTCTCCCTGTCCCGCCCCTTTCCCTCTGAAATAATAGCTCACTCATAACACATTATCTTTGCCCCTTCCACAGTTAATTTCAGTGATACCATGCTCAGGAGTGGAAAGAGGAAACCATGTTCATAATCTCATTTCATTTAAGCCCTGCCTTTGATTTGGTTCTGAACATCTGTTTCCTCCTCAGTTGCAGTGACCAGTTTCATTTCACTTGGTCCATCCAGGAACTTAGTGTAGTGCCAGGGAGCCCTAGAGCTGGAGGATATTGAATAGATTAGATTTTGCTCGTCTCTGTCCCCAAACCCTAACCATGGGTCTTACAAACAGCAGATTCCGGGAGACTTCCACCCTCTCTCTCTCTCTCCTTGTCTACTTCCCTCCCAAATGAGAGAAAGAAATAGAGAGAGAATTAGATTTATAAATCAAAGTTTCTTAATGTATCAGTTTTGATACATGAGTGGTCTAAAATGCTGTGGTGCAATTCCTAGTGGCTGCTGCACAATTGCCGCCCGCATGATGAGGACTGTTGTTTTCGCAAGGGAACTTTCCTCCCTCCTGCCACCTCTACCCCTGTTCAATGAAATGTCATTTTAATTTATCTTTGAAAAAAATCAGTTTAATTCTTACTGTGTGCACATCATGAAGGCCTTTTTCGAAAGAAAAAAAGATCAAATTTGTTTTGCCTCCAAGTACTCCATATGTCTTGAGTAGAATAAAAAAACTTTACCAAACCAAAGGTTGCTATTTTTGAAATATCACGTGTTCATTCCAGCAAGGCAGAAGACTGCACCTTCTTTCCAGCAACATGCTGTGTCCTTTTTTTTTTTAAGTCCTCTTAATTTTTAGACACGTATTTTTGATTTGTGTTTTAACAAAGCCTGCCTAACCAGTCATCTTGTCTGCACCAATGCAAAGGTTTCTGAGAGGACTACTGTATTCTGTATCCCTGTGGATATAAAGACACTGGCATTTCATTTCTTTTTCCCTTTCCTTTTTAAGGGATTTAACTTTGGAATCTTCCAAAGGAAGTTTGGCCAGTGCCAGATTCCCAGAAGTTTGGGGATTTTTCTTTGTTTTAAACCAAAATTGTATCTGATTCTTCTTGTTCATGTTAGTGATCATCTAATCACAGAGTCGAACACTTTCTCCCCTATACAGAAAAATAAACTAAGCATGCTTTACAATAAAATCTGTCTTTTCTGATAGAAACCTGAGCCACTGAAAATAAGAGAAACAACTAGAAGCAGAGTAGACTCCCAGACTAAGGTCTATGTTTGAGAGGCTTTGAAAGTAATCCCTGGGGTTTGGATTATTTTCACAAGGGTTATGACATTTTATTCAAGTTTGTTGCTCCGTTTTGCACCTCTGCAATAAAAGCAAAATGACAACCAGTACATAAGGGGTTAGCTTGACAAAGTAGACTTCCTTGTGTTAATTTTTAAGGTTTTTTTCTTACTATATCTGTCTACAGGCAGATACAGATAGATGTATGAAAATGTGCTTGCCTGTAAAATTTGCATTCATAAATGTGTTGCCGATGGATCACTTTTTGGGCCTGTACACATACCAGTTAGCGTGACCACTTCCATCTTAAAATCAAATCTAAAAAACAAAATTTATTATATATATATATATATATATATATAAAGGACTGTGGGTTGTATACAAACTATTGCAAACACTTGTGCAAATCTGTCTTGATATAAAGGAAAAGCAAAATCTGTATAACATTATTACTACTTGAATGCCTCTGTGACTGATTTTTTTTTTTTCATTTTAAATATAAACTTTTTTGTGAAAAGTATGCTCAATGTTTTTTTTCCCTTTCCCCATTCCCTTGTAAATACATTTCGTTCTATGTGACTTGGTTTGGAAATAGTTAACTGGTACTGTAATTTGCATTAAATAAAAAGTAGGTTAGCCTGGAAATGAAATTAAAATTCACAAGTGTGTGGTCTTTATTTCAGTACCCAACCTTCTTTTCTTCACCCTACCTATTCTGCCACTGCAATTTGTAGTCACGTCACCACTTCGTTCCTCCAATTAGAGAAACATGAATCTTTGTTATAAAAATCAAGATGTGAACACTAGTTCTCCTTCTTTCAAATGATCTTATTCCATTTTATAGCCCCAACAGGTGCAGCTTCCATCTTGGAAACCTTTGGCTTTGATGTAGAGGAAGCTTTGCAGACACTGCTTTGAAAAGAAAGAATATACATCCCTGAAAGGGACGAATTTTTTAAATGTGTATAAGCTGCTGTCTGATTACTGTGTTCATGGTTTGGTGTAGCTGTATTTTCTTTTAACTTTCATCCCATTAGTAATGGTCTTTGGGAGTATCTGTGAATGATATGAACACCACAAACAGTGGGGCTGTACCTCCCAGGTAACCAACACGTTGTGTTTGAGTCTGCTCATTTCCAATACTGGATGATGTATGTAAACATGTTATGTCTCTTAGTGCAAAAAGAAACATTTTTTTTTAGGGCTGGCTCACTCTGTCAGGCCTAATCTAAAGGCTAGATATAAAGTCATGTGACTGCTGCTTCAATAAAAACAAATTTATATTGGATAAAGTCTGGTCCGCTTTATTATTATTGTGGTGGTGTGCTTAGCTAATATTTGTAAAATAGTTTAACATGTTTACCAGTAGCGGGGGTTTGGGGGGAAGGGTGGGGATCAGCGCAAATATGCAAGATGTCACTTGTGGGATGGGTCTCCTGATGGCATTGAAGTGCATTTGTTTGGGATATACTCCTATCTTATTTCCTGCCATATTTGAATTGGGATTGAGCAAGACATCTTTTTAACTTAAAAACTCCTGAAAGACTGCATCGTTAATTTCTAAGGTCTTCCAAAATGTTGTGACGAACCAGTCCTTCGGGATCATGTCTCAGGAGAGCAGTGATGCTGGATGCCAGTTGAGAAGGTGGTCTAGAAGTGTAGTTAGGAAAGGGAGCGCTCAGGTTGCAGCTCCCCTTCATGGAGAAGTCTGTAAAAGGAAGGGAGCAAAAGTGATGGGGCCGTCACCCCTCTCTCAGGTGCAGAAATACTTCACCCACCCACTAGCACCTTCAGGTCTAGGAGAGCTGCAGTTAAGGGGAAAACTAAAACAGTTGTAGAAGATGGCATGATGAGGCCCAAGTTGTCAGAAGCTGGGAAGGGATGGTCCATTAAATGTATGTTTCTCTTTACATCCTCTTTTCTCCGGAAAGGAGAGGACACCCTGGGCCTTCCCACAAGAGTTGTTGATGTCAAGGCTTTAACGATCCTTAAAAGTCCGGGTGGGCCAGGTAGAGACTGGTGGCGGAGGGCTCTAACAGGGCAGCCAGAAGGTAAGCAGTAACTTATTTAGAAGGGCTTTTCTCCTGAGCTTTGGAGACTGACTCCATCCTCACCTGACTGAAGCAAGACGTAGGAGAAGAATGGGGGCCACAGGGATGCCTAGAAACTGACATTTAGTTCAACTGCTCAAGGGCTCAGGGAAGGGAGTATAGGGAAATTCAAATGTTTGCAAGTAGGAAAGTTGAATCTGGCTCCTAGCCCTGTAAACTGGAGATGCACAAAGCTGCAGAAAGGAAGTATCCGGTGTGAGCTCTTTGGTGCATCTAACATTGTATCTTAACTGCGCTTGGACTGCACTTAGTTTTTATAATATATGTAATTCATATGTACATATCAATTCAATGTTTGCGAAACTGCCCAGGTGTTTTTAAAATCAATACTGGGAGATGGGAGTTTACTCTACATCCCACCTTAATCTCACCTTGCTCTCACCTTATCGTGGTCTATGTTTAACAACCATTTCAGGCTCTTGAGTGAATAGCACACTCAAAATTATTTCAATGGGAAAGAAGAGATGTATATATGAATACAGTTAAATGACATTTATATTTCCAAATGAGTATAATTAGACACAATTACTGGGGGCAAAATCTGCATTCATTGTGTTTGGAAAGAGGTGCTCCTTTCCCCTCAGTTTCTTTTCTAAAAATGAGTGCGTTCTTTGTCCCCTTGATGCAGAAGAGGCTGGAGGGATGGCAGAGAATATGTTTGTTTGCTTCGATTTATAGTCTCAATGATTTATGTTCTCCAAGTTTGGCCTTCCTGTAAAATGGTAAAAGCTAAGCCAGTATCTGTTTCTTAAAATTCAGTTCACTTGTAGCTTCATTTGCATCAAAATATTAACCATTTAAAATTAATTACTACATTTTAAATCATTTATTTTAAATTTTTATATAGAATAATTATGAGCAAACCAAGTTAAATAATGCATTTTTTTAAATAAATTTATTTATTTTTGGCTCCGTTGGGTCTTCGTTGCTGCGTGCGGGCTTTCTCTAGTTGCGGCAAGCCGGGGCTACTCTTTGCTGCGGTGCTCGGGCTTCTCATTGTGGTGGCTTCTCTTGTTGCAGAGCACGGGCTCTAGGCGCGCAGGCTTCAGTAGTTGCAGCACACGGGCCCAGTAGTTGTAGCACACAGGCTGAGTCACTCCGCGGCATGTGGGATCTTCCCAGACCAGGGCTCAAACCCGTGTCCCCTGCATTGGCAGGCGGATTTTTAACCACTGTGCCACCAGGGAAGCTCAAATAATGCATTTTTATGTTCTCACACCAATAGTCTTCAGATATGTAAATGGCAATAGTAAAATAAGTAAAAATTTAGAAATATACACAAATATATAATATCTCTATTTCACCACCCCCACATTTCTTTTTTCCCCCAGAAAGGAAGGCCAAAAAAGGCTTAAATCTAGCCAAAAGTTAATTATTGAAGTCCTCTTGCCTTGATTTGACATTAACCACAGGATCATATTTGCTAAGCCTGGTTTAGGTGTGTGATGCCCTATGTAAAGTTAGTTGAAATGTAATTTTCCAAAAATGCAGCAACATTTTTACTCAAAGTGGTTACAAACAAAGCAGACACTTTCATACTCTTCAGCTCTGAAAACAGGTGTGTAAACAGGAACACATTTATTAAGTGCCATCAGTACAGCCTCGTCACAGAGCCTTCGGTGTTCCAGCCTCAGGAGGCACCCAGCCCCAGGTCGGCTGTGAAGCAGACCTGCACCAAGTCACACACATGTATAACCCCTTCGAGGTCAGGATCCATGTCAGTCAGCATGTATTCCCCACAGAAGGTTGCACATTGTTGGTGCTTAATGATGTGTTTTAATGGATGCAGAGACACAGAATGAGGTGCCCAGAAGGATGGAAGAATAAACACAGAGACAGGTAATGACAAGCTTGTGACGTTTGGTGCAGGCCTTCTGGTGGTCTCTCTCTAAAAGACTCCCTCAGACGCTAATGCACCTGCTGGTGGACACAGGCCTGAAACCCACAGAGCAACTCAGGACAGGAGGCTGTGGGTTGGGAATGGCTGGCGAGTACAGGGGTAGCAGACGTAGCAGTGAAAATACCCAAGAAGCTAATGAAGTTGGGTGTGGGCACAGACCCTCAGATGCCCCAGCCCCAGGTACCGTATCCCCTATCCCCTCTCCCACCATGATACTAGATCTCTAGACCCAGAGCCTTTTCTAAGGGGAGGGTGCCCTTGCCTCTCGATAGGCCTGATGGAGGGGCCAGCATACTCTTCCTGTAAGGTTCTAGGGCTTGGCTCTCCCCAGGCTGAGCTGGGGGCTGAGGAATGCTAGCCTGCTACCCTCACGGCTATCTTTGTGAGTCCCCTGGAGAGGCAGGACCTGCCTGGCATTGTCAGTGTCTGTCTGTGTAGCCCCAGGAGTGGTGGCTCTGGCTCTGACTGCTGTGGGGCGGCCACTCAGCCATTTGCGATGCTGAACAACTTCTGCGTGAGTGGGGCAGCGCAGGGGTGAATGTCCTGGATACGCAGCAGCCGCTGGGTGTGCTGGACGTTGATGCTGCGGAGCTCGGTGAGCATAGCCATGATCTTCAGGAACAGGAACTTGCCGGCCAGTCAGGGGAAGGGTTGGGGGTGTGGCCTGCCCTGCTCCCACCCACCAACACTGGGGCCCCTCTGAAATTGAACACATTTGAGGGTTTTCATCTCAGGTTTTCATCTCATCTCACAGGTCAGCTAAGAGACAAGGCTTGGCTGAATTCCTTAAGCTTCCCTTTCAGCCTGCAGATGAGGGGGCAGAACAGCCTGGGCCCTGCAGGTACGCACCCACCCTTCCCACTCACACCTCCTCCTCTGGGCTTGAGTCCCTGTGCACAGGGACATCCGTGGGAAAACCAGGCACTGCAGGCACCACGTGAATAGGTCGTTCCGGGGGGACATCGCTGCCGTGGCTAATGGACGGGGGTCAGGATGGGGTGGAGTAGTTGTGGAGGCACGGGCCGCAGGCAGCAGTCCCTCCCCGGATCTAGCCTGGGATCTGGTGTCTGAGACACGCCTCGTGCCTCAGTTTCCCCATGATGCCTCCTGGCTCCGTACAGGGGAGGACTGAGCAAAGCAAGACACGGCCACCCCCAGCATCCCAGGAGGCCAAGCTCAAAAGCCAGCTGCAGCAGGCCAAGTAAGGACTTGAGGTTCTATGTTCGCACTAGCACACCCAGTGCTGGCCTTACCCCGTCCAGCCCGGGACCACGGCACCAGGTCACAGGGCTGCTGAGGCCCAGTGAAGGGGTGGTAGCCTCTATCTGGTCAAGCCCTGAGCAGCCTTCCTCCTTCGGGTTGTGACCAGAACTAACTAAGGAGTCTCCTACCCCGTTATCTGTTGTTTGTCCTGGGAGGTGGTTAGGTAGTTAGTGCTCAAGGGTGTGGGCTATAGACTTGGCCCACAAGGATCCATCTCCAGACCCCACCTGCCTGGAGTGGGACCCGGGTCAGTTGCCCGGAGCCCCCAGTCCTTTACAGGATATGATGGCAGCCACTGCATGGGGCTGTTTTCAAGATGAAAGGTTATATGCATGTAAAACTGCTTGGCACCAGGGCTGGCTCTTCTCAATAAACAATAGTTGTTCTAGGTCAACTGGGCAGGAGGCCTCAGTGGAGGTCACAAAGCAGGGTCCCAAAGCCCTGGTAATTAGAGGCTGCCCCAGGAGCAGCTGTGGTCTGCGCCCCCAGAGAGACCCAGAACAGTCGGGGGCCTGGGGGCAGGGCTCACACCCCCTCACACCCTCTCTGCTTGCTGCTCGCCGGTGGGCGGGCCGGGGCCGGTTGCACTTGATGTAGGTCTTCAGGGTAATGGCGAACCACTCCTGCAGCTGGTCCAGCGAGCGGCACTGCCCCACACCCGGGCGGTCTGGTGGGGAGGAGACGGTGGTACGGTCCCCTCTAGGCCATGGGGGCCGAGACAAGCTTGGTCCATCCCAGAGGGGACAAATTGCCAACCACCTTCCAGAGCCAGGAATTCCCAGGCAAGGAAGTGAGGGGGGCGCTATGAGGGCTTTGCATCACCCCTCTGACCCTAGGAGAAAACAGCCAGAGTCCCCATCCTGGCTGAGCAGTGAGTGGAGGGCGAGGCCATCAGTTGGGACCTTCCCTGGGGAAGGCAAAGGAGGGCCTGCTGCCTCCCTCAGCTGAAGCTGACAGGGTGTGAGCAAGCCTGGAGAGGTGGGGGAGGGGCACGGGGAAGCCAGGTAGGACGACAGGTGGGGTTATCACCTGGAGAGAAAAGGGAGCTGGCCTGCATCAGCGCATACTCCTCCTTAGGCAGCTGCAGTTTCTTCAGCATGTGGTGGAATTTCAATACGGGCTCCAGTAGAAGCTGCTGGAAGCCACCTGTAGGGTGGGCACAGGCTGGAGGGGTAAACCTCTCAGGAAGCTGACCCAAGACCCAGACTTCCCTCACCAAGGTCTTTTTTCCCATTGCCCAATCCTATGCCCGGCAATCCCAGGACCCGTGTAACCCGGCGTGGCTCCTCTCCTCCCTCCACGGCTGTTTCCCGCCCTCTGCCGGGGCAGACAGGCCTCTCTCGGGCACCTGCAGGGTTTCCAAGCAGTAGGACAGCTGACCACGCTCCCAGGTCCTGGTCTACGCGTTGAACACCGTGTTGAATCTCAGCTGGCACAGCTCAAAGGCGGCCGCCTTCAGCAGGGAGATCTGGTCCTCGACGGGCAGGTCCCTGGCAGCAAAGGATAAGGAAGAGATGCCGCTTCCTAGGAAACTGCCACAGGCCAGCACCCCCTCCCATAATCCAGAATTAGGGTGGGAGGGTGGTGAAGAGGAGAGGGAGGGTGGGCCCCTCCCCATGCGGATTATTGCAGGTGCCTTCAAACTGCCTCCAATCTCTCCGTGTCCCAAGCCAGCAAGCAGATTCCTCCTCCCTGCCGTCTTCCTCTGGTCTCCTGCTACCTTCAGGGACTCCCCACTGCTGATGCGGCTTGGTGTCCAGGACCTTACAGCCTAGCCCCGTCACCTCCAGCTCCCTGCACAGCCACTGACCCCCCAGCCGATGCCTTGGCTCCTGGTCGCTGGCCTCCTGCTTTCTGCCTCGGTTTCCCCACTTGGAATGAGTACCCCTATAGCTTCACTTAAGTAGACTCTGCTAGTCCTTTGGGCCAAGCTGTCCTTGTGCCTCCTAGAGGTCTTTCCAGACTGCGGTCCTTTTGCAAGTGACAGTCCTCCAGCATGAGTTCCATGCAGCGGGGCTATTTGCTTTCTGCTGTCTGTTTTGGATTTGCTGTTTCTTCTGTTTCTCTCCAGGCAGCCTGGATGCCCTGAGCTGCACCCGTAGCACTGAGCACGGGCCCAGCCACAGTGGATGCCTCTAGTATTCACGGTTAGACTGACACCCCTCCCAACCTGAGAGGGGACCCCATCTCCCCACTGATGGAGGCATTCCAACTGAAAACCCAGGAGGGAGCTCTTCAGGAGGACCTTTGCGTGGCTTTGGTCTCCTCGGGAGTTCAGTCCCTTCTTTTAGATCCACAGCGTTGAGCCACAAATGCCGTGAACTTGATCTTTTCCTTCCGTGTGTCCCCGCCGCTGCCCTCACCCCCTGCCCCACCCAGCTCCCAGCCCAGGACCGGGCAGGGGACCGGCTCTGGAGGCTGTACTCTGCTTCCAAATCTGGCCCCTCTGATTAGCTGCGATCCCGCGCACGTGCCTTAACCTTGGTTTTCTATCTGTGGAATGAAGGTGAGAGCAACTCCTGCCTCCTGGGGTGGTTGTACCCCAAACTGGTTGTCACGAGCAATGAGTGGCCTCCCACCCTGGTGGTAGGGTCTGGGTCATGAGATGTTGGTGGGGATCTGCCAGGTCTATGCGTGGAAGGGGGCCTTTCTCCCTGCTCCCTTGACCTACTCTGCCGCCATCTGAACCCCACTCCAGCCTGTGGCCACCGTCACCCCAGTAAATACGTCCTACGTGTCACCCACAGGGCAACCTGTGGGCTCCTGGAAGAGAACCTGCCCTCTGCCTGAGGATGAAATCAGGGCTCCTCCTGTGTGATTCAGCTCCACCTGCCCAGGCCTGGCAAGGCCATTGCTGACCCCAGGGAAGACACGCCCAGTGCCATCTCCAGCCCTGACAGGCTCCATACTGTGCGGCTGTGGTTACCACCACACCAGAAGGGCCCAGTGTCTCTCATTCACCCCGGTTTCCCAGTGGTTGCTGCCTTCATGCCTAGCTCTGCGGCGTCCCGGCCCCTTGTCCTCCTTCCCAGCCTTCTCTGGGCAGCAGACTGCCAGTGACCCCGCGTCCGTTCCTGGCCCTTTCCGTCTTCTCCCTCTGGACTCCCTTCCTTTTCCTTCCAACTCTTCCTTTGCTCTGGAGCTGTCAACTTGTGATTCCTGCCCCTTTGCGGGGAAATGGGGAGGGGGATTACTTTCTGAACGTCCACCACGTATGTGATGAATGCTCTTCCAGATATTTTCTTATTCCACACAACGGCCCTGCAAGGTAGGCATTGTTAGCCCCTGTCTAGCAGATGAGGAGGTTGAGACACAGGTTAAAGGGCAGGCCACAGTCACAAAGCTAATGAGCCATACAGACAGCGAGGGCTCCGTTCCCCAGCAGGACCAGGTGGCCTGGGGACAGAGGTAAAGGAGGGTCTTTTGTTACCAACGTCCCCCAAATTCAGAGAAATCTACCCCAGACCATTTGAACCTGTTGGCCATTTCCTCCTCCTTTCCACACCATCCACCCAGCCCCTGTGTCCTACCTGAAATAGGAGAATGACTTTGGCAAAGCTGATGATGCCTTTGAACATGTAGGTTGCCGTGTCAGCCATGTGGGGCAACAGGGAAGAGATCTCTTTCCCACTATTGTCGGCTGCGGGCTTGTAGTTCCAGACGCTGCCGTCTTCCCCCGCAGCTGCAGGGAGGCCTTCACTGAACGTCGATCCTCCCTAACCTTGCACCACTTGGCAGCTTCTTCATTTGACTGAGTCTGCAGAGACTCCGAATCTCGAATCTCGTGGGCACTGCTAAGCACCTCTGGCAGCTGGGACGTGAGCCGGGAGGGGGAGAGACGAGAGGAGAGACGGCATATATTCCCCCAAACAGGTTCTGACACAGGCCCCAGACAGGCACACACAGCCACAGCTGCACCCTGAGTGGCTGCACGGTGGCAGGAGTGTACACCCCACCTCCACACACAGCACTTGTTCCTTCTTTTTGGTCTTCTCCTATCAGGTGGATCTTTTAACTCATGGTCCCTCACATCCCTGCCTGGTCAGGGGTGTGTCCCAAGCATCCCTGACCTTGCACTCAGGAAACTCAGAGAAAAGGATCTGGGAGCTAAATATGGAAAGAAACAGACTTTGGAGGCCACTGGCTACCAGTTCTCTGAGCTGGATGGGTCACCGAGATACCTGTGAGCACAGGTGGAAGAGGGCACTGGGATCAGACATGGCTACCACTGCTGAGATCACTGGAGTTTACTGGTTCAGTAAAACCAGTTCACAGATGTCATGCCCCCTGCAGGTCCTGCCCCTGTCCTCATAAAGCCCTGAACGCCAGCAACCCTGGGGCAACTCAGCTGTCCATAACTCCATTTATGGCTCAGACTCAATTTCTACCTGCTGCGGAAGGAGAGAGCAGAGTTGCTGACCTAAGCATGAGTCAGAATCACCTGAGGGGTCTTGTCAAGGCACAGACTGCTGGGCCCCAACCTCAAAGTTTCTGATTCAGGAGATAGGGGATGATCTGAGATTTTGCCTTTCTTACAAGTTCCCAGATGCTGCTGCTGCTGCAAGTCCAGGGGCCACTCTTTGAGAACCGCTGGGAATGAGATTGGGGTTCTGAAGAGCTAGCACAGGAGCTGAGCCGTCTCTACAGCCTCATACCCGGAAATTCTTGAAATGCGTGAAGATGCCATCAGAGGTTTTCACCTGAGCGGTTATCAACTCCCTGATCATCGTCTGCTGCTCTTCAGTCAGAGCCTTGCCTCCAGGGGGCTGAGTCCCAATCTGTTCTCTCTTCTTCCTCCTGATCAAGGCCCGCTTCTGCTCCACAGCCATGTCAGACATGATCACTGCAGGGATAGCCAGAAGCAGCCTCAGGCGCCTGCAGGGGCTCGGGCAGCAGCAGCAGATGGGGACATGCTCGTGACAAGAAACCTGCCTTTTTCCAGACTCTCGAGGACTCTGGGCTCCTCTGGAGAAACACCTGGGGAAGGATGGGTGTGCTGCCTGTGACTGTGGGGTTCAAGACAACTTTGTGGAGCGATGGGAATTGCTCAGGCTTCTGGATCTCAAGGCACCGGCTTGAGTGACGGTTTTGCCACTTTCTAGTGGTGACCTTGACAGGCTCCCTAACCTCTCTTGCCTTCAGTTTCCTTCTTGGTAATCTGCAGTGACAGTGCTCACCTCACACTGCTGCTAGGATCAGACACTGCACAGGAAATGCCTACTACAGCTCCTGGTACATAATAGTTGTTCAATAAATGCACCCGATTATTCTTTTCTGGTGGATCAGATACCAACCAGACTCCTCAGAGGCCCCCAAGATCTCTGGGACTCCAAGACCCCAGAGAGCTGGGACTACTGCTTAGCAAGAAATATCGACTCTAGCCACTTCCTATGTAGCCAGGTAGCCTTAGGGTCTTCCATGGATTTCTGGGGCCCACTTGTGTGTACAGAGCAAAGCTGTGGGGATCCTGGCAGGGAGGGGATGGCAGGGACTGCTGGTCTGCAGGAAAGGCTCTCTGCCCAAATGCCCAAGGAACTTGGCCCCTGAAAGGCTGCTCAAGGTCTCGGGTCCCTCTATGACTGATGGGAGAGAGATACGCTCTGGAAGCTTCCAGCCTTTTTCCCATGCGCTTTAATCTCAGAGTCCCTGGGAGCACAGTTATACCAAAGCTGGACAGGGGAAATGAGAACCCCCCTGTCACTGGCGGCACACAGTTCCTCGGAGGAGGCCGGGTCTGGGCAGCTGGTGGAAGGCGGGGGGTCATAGCACACCACGCGTCCCCAATTCACCGCCCCCAATTTGCCTTAAACAACAGTGAAGGGAGCAAAATGAATCACACAAGCGCAACAGAGGGGAGAGGTGGGCACGACCCTGGCTGGAGAGAACCTGGCCTCCCAGAAGTGAGAACGGAGACGCGCTCCACCCCTCCCCCCCTCCACCCCTCCACCCCTCCACCCCTCCAGGAGAGGCAGCTGGCCTCAGGCCGACGCCTGCCCGTCTGCGCACGCGCCCGCACACATCCCGCGGCCCGAGCCTGCTCGGGCTCACGTGCCCACGCCCGCCTGCGCGGCCTGTGCTGTCTTTCCTTCAGCCGCACTCCAGGAACTTGCGCAGGCGGCAGGCGGCAGGCCTGGCACTAACGCCGAGTCTTCCGGGTGATCTCGTAGGTGCCTTCTGGACAGGGCACCAGAGCCGGGCGTTGCTTTTCATGGCTGTGCTGCGAGAGGACAAAGAGCAAGAGATGGCGGAGGAGTAAGACGCAGAGATCACCTTCCTCCCCACAGATACACCAGAAATACATCTACACGTGGAGCAACTCCTACAGAACACCTACTGAACGCTGGCAGGAGACCTCAGACCTCCCAAAAGGCAAGAAACTCCCCACGTACCTGGGTAGGGCAAGAGAAAAAAGAATAAACAGAGACAAAGCGGGAGGTGGGCACTGCTTCCAACAGGGCCTGCACCAGAGCCGCTTTCTGGGATGTTTCAGCGCCAGGCCGAGCCTCTGTCTTTCCCGCACCCTGCCCTCTTCCCCCTCACTCCCAGGCACCCCCAGGTTTCTGTGGAGGCGGCCTCTTCCTGGATGTCTCCTTCTTGGAAGAGGGAGCCGGAGGAAACCTGTCCCCAGGAGTATAAGAGACAAAGCTCCCTGCCTTCCCCAGTCCCCATTCTGGACTGGGGGGCCAGGGGCAGCCAGAGGACCGGGTAGACTATGGGAAGCTTTCTACCTCACTGGACAAAGGCTTCCCCCTTGGAAAAGCAGATTCTCCTGATGGACCTAGGGGAACAGAGAGGTTCAGAGACCCATAATAGTGGGGTGAGCGGGCACTGCACCCACACGTCCCCGCACAGCTGTGCCAGGAGGGAGACAAGGGGGTAGATGCCTTTTAGAGATCTTAACCTTCTTATGGCCTAACCCGTGTCCCAGTCCAGCTAAGTTCTACCCATGCTGTGTGAGCAGAAGAACTCCTAGCAGAGCCCCGTCAACACACAGGAGCATGACAGAAAATAAAAGGGTGGTTGGTTTAATTAGTAAGTTTGGGGGAGGTTTGTTACTTGGCAAGAGATCATGGAAAGAGACGGCCTGGAGCTTTGTTAGATGTCCATCTGGACTGGGGTCGATGGGGTGCCAGCCGACACCCCCAGTCTTGATCCTATTCCACTCTTACATCAGCCCTTCTTACAGAATGATGCCCTGTGGGCAGGAAAATGACAGTGACTAGGTGACTGGTATGTGCCAGCTACATCTCTCTTTCATGTGAATTTAATAAGACCAGTTAGCTGTGCAGTTTCAATTCAGTCCAGCTGTATTTACTCTGAGGTTTGCACCTGTTGCTCACTGCCTGGGAATGTGTGAAATCTAGCCAGCAGAGGGTGGAAATGATCGCCTCTTAAATTCCATGAAAGTAAAATGCTTCTTCAGTGAAGCCTTTGCAAAAATAATTGTAAAATCCAGTATTTAGGCTGAATACCAAAGATGGGATAAATTCTCAGCAAGGAAGAGCCATCAATAAATGAATTAATAAATTAATAAACAGTGTTTATATGTGACTGGGGCTTGCTGCCCTGAGTGCACACATCCTCACCCCCTCTGTGGGTGAGTGATTAGTTGACATGGCTTAGCTAGTAGGAGGTGGAGCCAGAATTTGAACCCATGTCGGTCTGACTCCAAAACCTGTGTTCTTTTTTTTTTTAATTAATTAATTTATTTGGCTGCATTGGGTCTTTGTTGCTGTGCAGGCTTTCTCTAGTTGCGGCGAGCAGGGACTACTCTTCATTGCAGTACACAGGCTTCTCATTGCGGTGGCTTCTCTTGTTGTGGAGCAGAGGCTCTAGGTGTGCGGGCTAGAGTAGTTGTGGCTTGCGGGCTCTAGAGCTCAGGCTCAGTAGTTGTGGCGCACGGGCTTAGTTGCTCCGCCACATGTGGGATCTTCCCGGACCAGGGCTCGAACCCGTGTCCCCTGCATTGGCAGGTGGATTCTTAACCACCGCACCACCAGGGAAGTCCCAGGACCGGTGTTCTTAATTCAACATTGTGCTGTATCCTTCATAAGATGCGTTTCTGAGTGGGTAAACCATTTATTAAACCTCCTTCGTTTCTGTGCAGACTTGTTCCTAGGCAGTTCATTTCACACAGAGCCCTCCATGTCGTGTGAATTCTTTGAGGTAGCTCTCTGTTCTTGGGCAGAAAGTGATTCCCTAAGGTCCTCAATTCTTGCCATCTCAATGCTGGTTACAGCAGAAGGGACCAAGGAACTTTGCTGTCACTCCAGCCACATCCAGAGGCATCTGGCCCTGCGCCCTCTGGAGAGCTGCGAGCCCTCCCTCTCACAGTCAGAGGAGCATGTGTCAGTCCACTGACTCTCTTGAGCAGTTCCAGGGAGGCTCCATCTGTGTTCCACATCCTTCACTTTCTAAGCAGAGGCTCATGTGAGCAGATGGCCATACCACTAAAAGGACCTGCAGTTTTTCTGGGGCTGATGCTGCCTGTTTTCTGCAGATTCAGTGGTTCTTAGCCTTTGTATTTTCCTCATTGTTTATGTTGGAGCTTTTTCTTTTGTTTCTCACCAGCCAGGGCCTTTTACTAAGCCCTTTAAAAAAAACAGCTTTGGCAGAGGACCTTTGGAGAGCTTTGGGGTGGCTGCACATTCAGGATGGTTCCACAGTGTGTGCTGCCTAAGAAATCATTGACATTGTTGAAGGCTCAGTCCTGGGTGCATGCAGCAGTGGCCTGACCAGGCTGATGTAAATATATGCAGTAACTTCATTTGCTAAAGTCCCAGGTCTCCTATTAAATTAGGGAGAAGGGAGGTCTTCCGTGAATGACATACATGGGGGTACACATGGCAATGACTAACTGTGACCAAACAGGACCCAGCTGTCCTACTGTCACCTGGAGGTCAGAGGACTTTGGATTTTGCTCCCTGGGGCTAGAGATGTGGCAGGTACTGTCCTGCTCTCACTGTCAAGAGGGCCTAGCCCCTGCCACTGGCCTGTGACTCTCTCTACTCACTAACTTCTCTGGTGCTCAGGATCCTCATAAATAAATGGAACCTGCTGGAAGGGGCCAACACGGCCTTCAGCATGAAAAGGAAGAGGAGAGTGTGCCTTTCTGGGGATGCTACCAGCTGATCTGTGTCCATCCACAGGCTGGTCTGGCAGGGAGAGAAGTGGAGGAGGAACTGTAGAGGCACGTGTCCCTCAGAAGTCGGCCCAGAGGGAACCACTGTGGGTGGAGAGAGTGCTGTTCAGGGAGAAGATTCCAACTTGGGGAGAAAGAAAGGAAGGAGAGTGGTGCATGCGGAGACCAGAGGATAAGGGGGTAAATTCTAAAGAAAATGGGAATTGTTTCTGCAGTAGAAGGAACAAGGATCCCCGGGGCGGGGGGAGGGGGGCGTGGGGAGAGCAGGGGAGAGGAACGGAGTGGGGAGGGAGGGGAGAAAGGAGAGTAGCACAGGCTGCTACTTGCGTGGGTGAAAAGGGAGCAAGGAAAGGACTGCAGAGGCATCCTCGAGGATGGGAACTAGATGGAACCCAGGGGTGAGCTGGGAGCAGCAGAGAAGAATGACAGGTTACAGGAGGCTCACAAAGGGAGCCTGGTGCTGCGAGTGGACTCAGCAATTTCAGGTTCCTAAACTAGGCTGAATGAGACCCTGCTTCAGGACCTGGGATTTCCTGTTGCTCAGGGGATTAGGTTGTGAGATGCAGCACCCTCAGCATGAATGATACAGGATAGGTGGCTGTTCTCAACTCCAAACTAGGAAACATCAGAAAAATGTGTGACATGCACGCTCCTCTACTACAGAAGGAACGTGTGAAAGGGAAGGAGTAGAGGGAAGGTTCTGGGAAGACTTTGCCTGGGGGTGGAAATAGGAGGATGGGAAGCCATCAACTAGTAACCTTTGGAGTCAGGTATTTAGAGACCACCGGAACGGTGCTGTGGCTACATCCAGGCCAACGGGCCAGATATCAGGTATTGACATGGGAATTGGTTGTCTTTAGGTACAAGAAAGCAGATGCCCAGTGAGAGGTCCAAGGTGCTGCCTGTTAGGTTTTGAAATTTAGCAGAGATGTCATTCTGGGCAGCCCTAAGGGCATGTCCATGCGCTGCATTTGCTGGGAAAGTGACTCTCCAGGGCCCAGACAGAAGGAGACACCAGTCAGCTCCACTTAGCACTCCCTGGCTCCCCTGCTAGCCTGTGAGCCCACAGGTCACCCACCCCGGCCAGCAGCAGACTCTCCCCAGCTGGCGGTGGGAGCGATTTCATCAAGTTCTCAGTTGAGTCAATGGGTGAGTAGAGGTGCCCATGTGTCGGCTTATGTAGGGTCTGAGGCTTATACAATTGGAGGAATCTTCTTTACAAAAGAGAGTACAAAGTTGAAAATACATAATTAGGTACCAAAGAGAATATGTATTTGTGAGAAAGAATGAGAAGAGAAATCACAATAAATAAATACTAAAAAGGACAAGTAGCAAACATCATGAAATCCAGAAAAATAGCCTAATATTTTAATTAATTATTTTCCTGACACTCCTCTGTGATATCTTGATTGTCTCCTTGTGGGAGACAGAATAATGGCCCCCAAAGACATCCACATCCTAATCCCCGGAACATGTGAATATGTTTCCTTATATTGGCAAAAGGGTCTTTGCAGCTGTGATTGAGGTTACAGACCGTGAGACAGGGAATTAGTTACCCGGAGTTACCCAGGTGGGCTCCATCTAATTACCAGAGTTCTTAAAAGGCTTTCCTGGGTTTATTCAGAGAAAGAGATATGATGATGGAAAAGAGGTCAGATGCTATGTTGCTGGCTTTGAAGATGGAAGAAGAGACCAAGAACATGGGTGGCATAGGAGCTGGAGAAGGCAGTGGGTTCTCCCCTGAGCCTGCCTGTAGGAACCAGTCTGGGTGACACCTTGATTTTTGCACAGTGGCACTGTTTTGGACTTTGGGCCTCCAGAACTGTAAGATAATCCATTTTGTATCATTTAAGCCAACAGTTTCTGATATTATTACAACAGCAATAGCAAGTGAATTGTATTCCTTGTAGAACAATCATTTTGTAATGTCATTTTGGTATATAAAGAACAGAAAGATAGGTCTTTCCTCTAGCACTGCTGATCAAAATTTGCTTTTTACTATGATATTAGATAAAAGTTTCATCTTCACAACTACGTCAAGGATTGTTGTCAACTTAAGAAAACCTCT